ACCGCGCCCAGCCCAGCCCATCTCGTACCCGTACCGCCCTCAATGCTCCCTGTCCTGTCTTCCTGTCTCTGTGTCTGTCGTCATATGACTCCTCTATTCGCTCGTCGTGCGACGCCGACGCCCCGCGGTCTAGACTCAGGCCTCTCATTCACCCCGCCTGCGGAGCTTCGTCCTGTGCCTCGACGGGACGAGTCCGAGTCCGAGGCCGCGGCGGTGGCGGTGGCGTGCCTTGCCCGCTATTGTTAGCGTGCCCAGCCAGTGGCGGCGATACGTCGGCCCAAGTCCCAGGTGGCCAGACGTTCAAGCGTCTTATTTCGGGCGCTATGTGCGCTTGGTCCTGCATAAGCGGCCCCTTACTCCCAGGCCGAGGCTAAATCCAGCGCAGGATCACGAACCTTAACTGCATCTGCGGCGATGGCTAGTACTGCATCTGCGGCAGTACCAGTACTAGTCTAATCTATCAGAGATGGGTGCGATGCGGTATTCCTTGTTATCGCGCGCTTATTCTTTTCATTTCATTCGTTTCCGGTGAGCTTTGTTTTATTTTAATAACGAATGGACGAAGAGGAGAATCCACGGGATGCCGTTCGTATCGTGTTAATTAATTAATCGACGGGGTGCCGAGAGCGAGAACACGCTACATTACCTAGCCCTTATTCTCTTTCGAATTCGCTCTCGTCTCCACGGACGGACGCGTATGTTCTTGTATCGATGATTATGCTCTTGTGTCCATTATGCGCTTGTTCTGTGTCCGTTATGTTATATTCTTGTATGCTCTTGTGTCCATTATATTAATTCGTGTTCTCATCTCCACGCCTTGCCCGTGTGTTCGCGACACTGGTGCGCCAGCGCGAAACCTTATTATCGACAACATCCGACCGGTAACCCTCTCCCCCGGCCCCGCAGATCCATCTGCCTCGTGAGTCGACGTGCGTGCGCCGACCCTTCCTTCTCACTAGACTGCATCTAAACTTTAATTCATTTCTGATGCGGCCCGTGGTTCCGTGGTTCCGCCGCGCCGTCCTTATTCTCGTGTTGTCCGCCTTGTACATACCTTTGTAATGGAATTAACGTTGTTCTGGTTTCCACGGGCATTGCGTGGTTTCCTCGTCGGTCCATTATGCGCCTGTGTCCATTATATTTTTGTTCTTTATTCGTGTTCTCGTCTCCACGCACCCCTACATTGTGTCTCTCCACATCAACTACGCATTGTGCGCTGGCGCGAACGTCATCTACAGCGTCCGTCCGCCCGGCGACCCTCTCCCCCCGGCCCCGGCCCCGCAGATCTGCAAGTCGGCGGTTCGCCGCCCGCATTCGGCCCTATGTTCTCATCCATCTCTCTCTCCGGCGACTAAAGAAAGAAATGATACTATTTGATAGCGCTCTCAATCTCGCCGCCGCGTTGATCATTCGCCGGTCCCGTTCCCGCTCCATTTATTGTTAATGAGCCCATTTATTCAACTCGATTCTAGAATTGATGATAGGTAAGGATCTTCAGTGATCTGCAAGGCTTCACGTACACGGGCACCCACAACGGAACAGAACCCCACGGTGGATTCCGGCGCTCGTCATGTGGGGCGTGACCACTGACCAAGCGGGGTGGGGGGACCCACCGAGGCCTCCGGCTCCGGTTTGTCGCGACGTGCATACGCGAGATGTTTTACAAGAGATGACATACATATAGCGTACTACTCTACTCTACTCCACGCGCACAATGCGAATATTGCGTGCTCGATCAATATCATCCACTCGAGTGCGCGCTCTCGCTAATCACGCACCTGCACTTTGTCTAGACTTGCACATGCACAAGTACATGCTGCAGATCCACATCCACATCCACATCCACTCCGAATCCCTTGAACCCACTCGCCCCTGTCTGCCAGATGTTTTTTTTTTTTTTGCCTCCGTCCCCTCGATCACATATTTCGCAGTCTTGGCAGGATCGCCTCCTGTGTGTCTGCACCGCACCACTTTGGCACGATGTGATATGACAAGGCCCACAGGAGGCGGATTATTCTGATTCTGATCCTGATTCTCCTTAAGCTTTCTCTCTGTCTAGATGTGATGATGAATATCCTCCCTGTCTGCACGATGTCGACGGCGGCACCACAAAATCACTCCGAGTGGCATTTCAAATGTATATCAAGAAATATAGAATAGTGTAAGTTGAAAATAACGACCACTCCCTCGATTAAAAATCCCTTTCTGGCAGTTATTTGCCTCCGTCTCGATCTTATTCACATCACATATCACATATCATATCGCAGAGATTTACAATTTAAGTTTACAGACTGGTCCTCCTGTTCATCATGCACCGCACCGGCGCACTAACTCTGATATCTCTCTGGGGATCAGCAGGAGGAACGGTGCTGTGAGTGATATGACCTCATAGACACAGGCGCTTCAACTTCGAATCTGATTCGCAGTTCCGGTCAACCTGTCTTCTATCTATCTATCGACCGCTTCTAGAATTCCTTGTCAATGATATGACCTCACAGGGTACGGTCTGATTCCCCGTGCTCCGAGACCACATCGGACTGTATACAGCTCCCTCGGAAGGATTTACAGGCCTGCACCGCAACCTATCATATCATTCAGGCAGGTGGAACTTGAGGTCAGTGATATGACCTCACAGGAAAGAATAACTCGATCGCCCGGAGGCTTCGATCCCGGAATTCGAATCAAAGTTGGTAGAATCTCACAGGGCACTGTGTCAACAACACGGAGGGATTTCCAGCCCTATCACCCTCCTGGATGGTATGATGGACCGCACCACACCGCACTAACTGCGCTCCTCCAACTCACGGCCTATCAAGTCCGAGTCCGAGATGATATCGGCCCTCGGACGCACAGCTTGAACTTAGGTTGAACACCGACTCCTCCTCGGTGATCCTCCAACGGACTGCGCACTAAACATACATGTACCTCGCTACTTTCCTGTAGGCATCCATTTTCAGGTTGGGATCAATGAATCAAAGTGCGAGGGGTAGGAACACCGTGCAAGTCTGTGCAAGTACTGCCCTCGACCGAGTGATGAACATTCTAATCAAGTGCGATCAATATTTATCTTCCTGCTTCCGACTGCGCACGAATATCCCAGGTTGCAACCATTCATAAAACTCTGTGCAACCAACGCACGAGCTCATACGAGATTAACGAGCGAAGCGCACCGCCCCCCGCAGGCCCCCGACGTCTCGCGTGCCAGTGCAAGTCCGCAGTCGAGGTGATCCGGGCGCGCGGCCCCGAGGCCAAGTCGGACTCGGACTCGGACTCGGGCTCAGGGTCGACGCGCGACGTGCGAATCGATTCTATTCTCTTGTCGCGGGATATGTTGCACCGACTCAAGCAGTCCCGTGCGAACGGATCTACGCGACGTCATCCTGTCAATATAATCTACTCCACCCAATAATGAGATAAGATTGACAGGGAGATTAGATTGGGAGGAGATGTAGATTAGATTAGATTGCGGGGACAATAAACAGAACGGATCGGGAACAATGCAATTGTGGACTCATGATGCCCCGGGTGGGAAGAATGCGTAGAATGGTGGGAGAATGGAGCCCGAATGGGTGGAGCAGAGATGGAGAGAAGGAGGGGCCTTGTACCCAATTCGTGTTAGTGCTACAAGGCTACAAGCGCCGTTGTCCACAGAATAATTAGAGCCCGCGTCGTTTGTTCCATTGTGGACGCGTCGCTTGGACCATCCTTTGTGTCGCTTAACGTACGGTTATCTAATCAGATCCCGCGTTCATTGTATGGAGAATAATTAGGTTCCGCGTCCATTGTGCCCATTCAGGATGCTTCGCTTAGACCGTTCTTTGTTCGATTGTACATACAATTATCTAATCAGATCTGGTACTTAGTAATTGTGGGAGAATAATTAGGTTCCGCGCGCCTTGTACTTTGTACCCCGCATTCGGCTCGATTTGTTCACGGTCCGCGCCTGGACCGTCCTTTGTTCGCTTCACGTCCAGTTATCTAATCAGATCCCGCGTTCATTTTACGGAGGATAATTAGGTTCCGTAGGCTTTGTTCCCATTGTGGATGCGTCGCTTGGACCGTGCTTCGTTAAACTTTATCTAATCAATGGAAGAGAAAGAGAACAATCAGATCCCGCGTTCATTGTACGCAGAATAATTAGGTTCCGCGTGCGGCGTACCTTGTCCTTTGTACCCCGCATTCAGCTTGATTAGCATCCCGCTCATCCTTGTTCGCTTAACGTACATTTATCTAATCAGATCCCGCGTTCATTGTACAGTACAGAGAATAATTAGGTTCCGCGTCTTTTATTCCTATTCAGGATGCGTACCGTCCTTGTTCGACTTTTGTATAGCCGGTGGGGAGAGAACAATTAGATTCCACGAGAGGACAATACGCCTCCGTGCGCCTTTGTACTTTGTCCGGCGCGTTCCCAGGCTAGATACCATCCCGTTGTCCTTTGCCCGTCGCACAGCGAGCAGCACTCATATTGATCACGAACAATGTAACTACCTTGTAGTTCGTCTCGCGCGTTCCCGGGGCTAGGCTAAAATCAATATAATGTCACAGTGTCTACCGCCGTTCTTCTTTGCCTGTAGCATCAGAACAATGTGGAACAAAGACCGTGAACAATTAGGTCCCCGCCTAGGCCTGCCGTTGTGCACTGCTACCTGGCAACCAGAAGCGCGTTGTTTATTTTGCACGCCCAATTCGGTTGAGAGTTCCCCGCCGCCGTTTGTTCGATGTTTAAAATTATCTATCAGCTGAGCCCCCAGATATGAAGATTCTACGCTGGGGCCTCCCTTTGTTCGACGCAACTTCCCAGACTAATAGTAATAGTAATTACGACGAGAACAACGTGCGTGCCGTTGGGCTTTGCACGCCCGTTGGAGACCACCCTTATTCGAGTTAAATTTGAATTTATCTGATCAGAGCTTGAGAACTGCTTCACTAAGCTCACTCCTCCGTAGCCCTCGCACGCCGTTCAATTCACACTATGCAAGGTTCCACCCCATAAAAGAGACCCAGTAGCGGATCGTCCGCGCCCGCGCCTCATAATCAAATGATAATGCACGCGGGAGTCCTTGGTTTGACTCCAGGCTGGGTCATTCAATTTAAGATTTTTTTTGACTTAGTTCTAAGATTTCCGTTTCGAAATCGAATTCATTACAAGCTGTGTTGCATATTACATTCGAATCTAGGCTGGGTCGCTGGGGAAAAAAAACATGTAATTCCCTTTTTTTTTTTTTTTTTTCACTCGGGACGCCCGCTCCGGAATCCTGGTTGAGGCAGGGTTCAACTCCCTAGCAAAGAGACCCATTAGCAGACGGTCCGCACCCGCTCCACTTAAGGTACATAGGAGATGTATGCGGGGGTCCCTGGTTCGACTCCAGGCTGGGTCATAGCGCGGTCCTTGTCACCCCAGGGAGCACCGGCGCAGTCACGTGAGGGCCTCTTAGGGGGGTTACGTTGTAGGAGCATAACCCCCCTAAGAGGCCCTGTAGGCGTCGGAGATAGTAGGCTTCTATTAGGTAATATACAATCTTATCTGTTAGACATCTTATCGCTGGCACACGTGCCTCTCTCTTTTGCACCAGCATGGCGCCCGGTTTTATGCGCTCTGCACGCGCGGACCAGCCCGCCTCGACCTCTGGACCAGGCATTCACTTCACCAGCCCCATTAAGTCACGAGATAGGCGCAAAGCCCAGGTTGTTGTCCCCATGGGAGCCGGCCGAAGAGCAGAAAAAGAAAAAGCAATCCGAGCGCGTATAAACAAAATCTTGCAGCCAGCTGTCGCCCCTACACATCCCAGCGACTTGGGACAACCCATATCTACCTTTGCAGGCCTCTCAGAGCCGGGCAGTGACGTGGAAATGGATTGGATCGACGACCCGCCTACACCTCCGGCACCTCCGATGCCATCCTCACCGCTCCTTGGATCCACTCACACGCGTCAATTGGCGAGGGAAAGACGCCACCAGTCCTGGGATCTTCTCCTTCCTCAGCTTTTCACACCATTTGCCACGTACCGGCAGGCTAGTCACGGTCAACGGCCTACCCCCATTCAAAACCTCCTCCAGCATGACTGCACGGCCTCCTGTGGTCATCCCATCACAGCTCAGGTGCAGTGCCTCTACATTACACGTTTGTAATCCATATATTACAACCAATCTCGCTCTGAATCTCTCAGCCAGATCCAGAACAAGTTCATGTCATAACTTGTAGCTGTATGCCGGTCGCGGTACTCCTTGTTCGCAATGGAGTCTTCCCAACCTCCCCTTCTCAGTGTCGCACTGCTGTCTCCATCGACTTCCTCGACGTTTACCGTGCGCTTTTTGAGCGCTCGTGCGATGCAATTACAGCCCTTGCCGCTGCGCTCCACACCGTGTATGACCGGCGGGGATTCCGTGTTATCTCAACCCGGGTTGGCACTCAATGTATTTGGTTGTTGTTGTACTGACTCAATCCCCAGAATCCTGGCGAACTTGCGAAAGAGCCCTTCCGTGACGGCCTTGCGCAGGCTGTCCAATGGTACAGCAACTTGAGAACAGGAGTCCAGGCGAAGGTCGATGCTGTGCTTGTAGCTGCAGAGCAGTCTATTCTCCCTCCCACTGTCCTACCAAACCAAACCCCAGATATGGTGGAGCAGGAGGCGTCGGAGGAGGCGTTGGAGGCATCGGAGGCATCGGAGGCTACCACCCCCACCTCCGATGCTGAACCTATGGAGGGTGCCTCACATACTAATAGTCCACATGCACCAGATACATCCGACGAGCCTCCAGTACCACCAGGCCCAACACCTGGACGTGCTCACCGGATTCTACGAGACCGCTGCCCTGCCTGCTTTGGCCTCGAGACCTGGGGACGGCCACTTTCTGAGTGCGTAGCCTCTATCTGATTTTGTATCCACTGTCCTTAATATTTTTTACCAGCGGAGGGGATGTCCAACTTGGTGGTGATGGCTGCTTCAGTTATCGCCATCTGAAGACTGCAGGCGATGGGCCAATCTCTTACGACCCTTCGTATTTCATCTCCAAGGAGAAAATAGAGATAGTCCGAACCCGCATAATGAAAGCCAGGAGCAGGAAACCCCGCCAAGTCAAGCCTTTGATCCCGCAGGAGACTATTGATGCTTGCCAAGCTTCCTGGGATGCTGCAAATGATAAAAAGCAGAAAGTTGATCCCAAGCGGCATGATGCGAGCGGTGTTTTTGTCTTGACCTGCCGGCATTCACAGGTTCTTTTCTTGTGTGATATTGACACCCCTGGAGAGCGGCAAGAATTTATTGTTGCGCTCATGGAGGAGGTGAACAGCTACCTTCCACCCCAGGCAACAATTGTTCAAGCGTATGACGTAGGCTGTGTCACTGATCACAGTCTCAATCTGGTAATTTCATTTTTTCACTCCGGCGTCGGAGGCCTACCCTACCTACAGCTAATTGACCTCCTAGTTTCCCATCCTCAGCAAGGGCTTCCGTGAACGTGTCTGCTTCGTTATCAATGCCATGCACTCGTTCGGCCATCAGTGGGTCTGCCAGCTTGTTTACAGTCCTCGTCTTCGGCGTGGGCTGTGTTTAACAGATGCGGAAGGGGTGGAGCGTTTTTGGTCACGTATCCGGAAGTTAATTGGTATCACCAGAAACCAGTGGGTGAGTACCTTATTTTCCCCCCTCCTTCCCTTCCAACCCAATGCTAGAACTCCCGGCGCATCTGGATGATTGACCAGTATGCTGCATTTGTCAATGAGGAAGGTCGAAACAGCCTCGGAGGTTGGATTCATCGGCAAGAACACAAAAATTTGGCCAAGAAGCGCCAAGCTGCTAATAAGGTGCTTGCCGACTGCGGTGTCCCAGCAGCTGAACTTCGCCGAAATTGGGAGGAGCAGAAGGCGGCTCAGGCCTCCCTCCGGTCACGTGCGTTCATATCGGAGGCCTCCCTCACCTACTACATTAACATTAACATGAATACAGATGCCCCGGTTCGATTGAGGCGTGAACTCGACAAAGTTCTTTCCCTGCAGGCCCAAATCGACACAGTTGAGCAGTCGATCACAGATGTCAAGAACACCATTAAGGGCCCGGATGCATCTTCCGACTCTATCACACTACTTCATAGTCTTAAGGGAACACATGAAACTCTCAACACACAAGCAGAAGCATTGTATGCCTCCCTCAATATTCATCAGTCCTTCCCCGAGCTTCAAAACCTTCCTCTCGATTTTGTCCGGACACTTCTGATGATGCGGGACCTGAAGATCAACATTCGTAAGCGTGCAATTGGCAGCTTTTACGAATGGGAGAACCTTGACCGCGCGGTTGGAGGGAGGAGGGAAGCCCTCGGTTAGTTCACGTCGGAGACCTACGCCACCTACCTCACTAATGCATTACAGGTACCAAGCTGCACCAAGCCACGAGGAAGGCAATCTCAAAGCGCCAGCCAGCCCTCCTTCGCTCGATTGCGAAATTCAATGGGTATTGTGCTGATCTTGAGAGATTGAGGCCTCCGGGGTGTAAAATCCCAGTTCCATCTCCATTGTCGACACAGCTGAGTGGCCTCCGGGACGATCCTTCCCTACATGAGGATGTTTGGATCACCCCCTCTGAAGGTCAAATTCCTCGGTGGCTGAATGATTCTGATGTACGAGATGGAATACGTGCACTCCATTCTGCAGACAGGTGTGCGGAGGAGGCTGCTCGGCTCAACATTGAACGTCAAAACATGGCAACTTGGCTGAAGCAAGAGCTTTTAATTGTTGCAGCAGCCATTAACATGGTCACTGGTATGTACTTCCCTGAAGATTACGTATTTGTTTTTTTTTTCATTCTCCTTTCCTGTGTAGATTCAGACCTTACTCTTGAGCTTCAGCTTCGATTGGAGTCGCTTGAATATCTCCAACTCAGCTGGGCATCTGCTATCCGCATTTGCCCTCAATCTTTGCCACATGTCGGTGGACAGGCCTCCTACGCTGCCTCAGGCACCTCCTATACCGCCTCCAACACCAGCCGACTTGAGCCACATCCCACCCCTCACATCAATTCTCAGCCTCCCACATACCCCCGTACTTCTCTGACTGTGATGGTTGAGTTGCACCCAGAGGAGGATCTGTTTGAGGAGGATCCCACCAGGCAGCTCACCTCCGACACCTCCGACACAATGGTCGCATCCGAGGAACTTGACCCAGGTTCCCTGTCGGATATTGATCATGATAATGTTTTGAGTGTTCAGGATATGCTTGCAAATCCTGAAGCTGAGGAGGAGTCGACAGGTGTGGAAGCGGACAGTTTAAATTTCGAAATCAAGTGGGAACCTTTGGTGCGACCACGTGACCTCCGACACTACCGTTGCACTGATTGTCATTTCTCAGTCTGGTCTCTCTGTTGACACTGACTTCCTGCAGTGCATCAAGGTGCATAATGACATGGGCTGGGTAGAACGAGGTCAAGTCAAACGGATTGTCTTAGGTCTTGATGGCCGGCCACGCATTGAAATTGAGCCTGACGACATCTCCCGCATTCAGTCCAGCAATGGCCGGCTCAACGGCTTGACAATTAATGCTCTTGCTGCAGCATTCCTCAACCTGCTTGGCTACCCCACCTCACCACATGCAGAGTCTGCGAACAAATGTGCCATTTTCAGCACCTATGACCTTCCCCGCATCCGGTACAAGGCCTCCGACGATGCTCTGTGGGGCTTTGTGAACCATACGAAGTACTGGGAGAAGTCTCTCTGGCTAATCCCAATCCATCGGGTCGATGAGGAGCACTGGGTGCTTGCCGTTGTTGATGTAGGCCACCAACAGATCTTCTTCTTTGACAGTTTAGCCGTCCGAGCCCGGGGCTGGAGGCAGGATATTCGGGTTTGTCTTCATCCATCCTCTCAGGTCATGAAGCTTATTGGTCTCAGGACATAATGGTTTTGATTACACGGATGGTAGTCCTTGCCAATCGCCACAAGCATCCTCTGCATGTGTCAACAGAGGAGGAGACTTGGATTGCCCGCCCGCTCTTTAAAGTGGTATGTGTTTTCCTAATTGAAACTGGATAATACTAAACTTGGTGCAAGGGGGAACCTCGTCAATCCAATGGGCATGACTGTGGCCTCTGGGTTT